ACTGTTGGAACTCAACCAAGAATTAGGAGAAGTGCAAGTTATAGCACTCCAAAATCTTACAACTACAGACTATCTACTGTTAAAAGAATATATGGGATGTGAACAGTTCCCAGGAATGGGTTGTTTTAATTTGTCTGATTTCTCTCAGACTGTTCAAGTACAGTTGGACAATATCCATCATATCATAGACAAATTTTCACAAATGCCTAGGGTGCCTAACTGGTTTTCTTGGCTTCACTGGAGATGGATGCTAATTATAGATCTGCTTTGGTTATGTAGCTGTATTCCTATTATGTTAATGTGTGTGCGCAATTTAATTAGTAGTTTAAAACCTATACATGCTTAAGTTACTCTACAAGAAGATATGTCAAAGAAATTTAAAAAAATTGCTTCATTAGCCCCTTTCATGTGTACTTTGAAAAAATATTCCTCAGCTAATTTTAATAATCTCTCCTGGGGGTTACTTATCTCAGTAGTGCTCACTGAAAATCATTGATTAAGTGCAATTCACTCATATAGTCTGTATATACATTTAGAATGAATACAGATATTTTTTAATTAAACAATTAAATAACCACCACTAAAATACACTACATACAGCCTGTTGAGAAAAACAGAACAATTCAAGGTTGAATAAGTTCCACTCCTGCTGCTATACAAGTTATTATTACCACAGCAGCCAGAACCATTTATTTTTAAAGCATAAGTGATTTTTTGTGGTTTTAAAACACCGTGTGTTATCACTCCCTCCAACAGTTTTCTACCCACTCAGAATAAAGTCCTTGCCATGGCCTACAAGACGCTGTGTGTTCTGATTCCCCACCAGTCCACACAGCCTTCCTTCCTTCGGCTCTGTCCCTGGATCCCTGTGCTGTAGCTGGTCCAGCTGAGTTCTCCTCTTTGAACATACCAGCCTTGTTTTCAGCTCATGGCTTTGCCTTTGCTGTTGCACCTGTCTTGAAAGGCTCTTCTGTGTGTATATGACTGGCTCTCACCCTCCATTTAGGTCTCAGCCCAGGGAGGTCCACCTGGTAACTGCATCTCAATCTTCATCCCACCAACAATGCACATTATCTAATTACTCTGTTTTAGTCATGGTGTTCATCACTAAAAACACTTACTTATATTGTTTATTGAGCTTCTCCCTGTTCCCACTAGGGCAGAGTTGCTATCCGCTTGTCACACCCTTGTGTCCCCAGAGACTAGAGCAACTATGCCTGGTACATAATAGCCTTGAACTCATATTTGTTTTGTTATTGAAAGTGGTCTACAGTGAAATGAAAGTTCGGGAGAGGGTTCTGAAATGCTTTTCCCAGATTGGATGGGGGAGTGGGGGGATTAATAAGCTCTTCCTGGATCATTTTTTTAATGAAGCTAAATTTATTTTAAAAATCTTTAAATGACAGAAAAGGGATATACCTAATTGTGTGTGAATACAAAAAGAACTACATACACCACACACTGACACACATACCAGTATCGACTAAGGAGATGAAATTGGTGATATCAAAACTCATTTTTCTCTTTTTCTCTAATACTGTTTCTGGACCCCCAGATCCAGATTTGTGTGCCCAGTGCACAGTAAGCCAATCTCTGAGTCACATGTTTAAAGCAGAGAAAGCTTTCTCTTAGATGGGCAGCCCAAAGACAATGCAGGGGACCTTTCCAGAATCTGCCTTACCCGATGTGGGCCGAGGGACAGGTTATATGCTACCGGCAAAAGGCTATGGCACTTACAGCAGAAACTGGAAGGGCTTTGAAGCTTCTCAGAACCAATCTCATCTTCCTGGTGCCCTGGAGGGGTCCTGGTATGTTACCTATTGACTCTACTTCTGGTATCAGCTCTGCAACATAGATATTATCAACCAACATCTGCTCTGCCCTGTTTCCAGCTTCAGGAAAGAGGACAAAGGACAAGATGAGGTTAAGGATCCCTGCAAGGCGTGCAGGGTGTGGGGTGACTGTGGAGGGAGAGCCTGGTGAAGGTGCAAGGAGTAAAGAACTATGTGTCCGGGTTCCATACCTGGATGTCTCTGCTCACATGCAGTGAATTTTTCTGATGGGGATTAAATTTGTTACCTTAACAAAAGCACACTCTTTGCACTCCATCAGAGAATCCTCTGCAAAGACCGCCTGCATGAGAATCACATTCAGTGCTTGAGTGTGGATACTTCTGCCCGTTTGGAATTGGAATGTGCTGATTGCAGCAGGTTCTGCAAGTGAATATTATGCCTGAAAGTTTAGAACCTGCACTACTACACCAATTCTGGAGTGCAGGCCTCATTTCTCATGGCCTCTTTAAAAAAATACTTACACAGATTACTTGAGCATTGAAATGGTTTATTTTTCCCTGCTGAATCACTGCAGCTCCTTTCTTAGCCCCTACAAAAATCAAAAGTGGTAACTTCAGTTCAGATTCCTTGATTTTTATAGTCTTGCTATACGTGGAGAGAAACCCACAGCAGATTGGGGGTGCAAAGAAAGAGCTGTTTCTCTGCCAAATAAATGGTAGGCTTAATATTGCCATAGTACTGCTCTTTCCTTTTAGTCTCCACTTGGTCTTCCTCATCTGGATTCGCACACTACTCCAAGTTCAGCTCCGAATCACTTTCTGATTTAAAATGTGAGGGAAGGAGATAGCTCAGGGAATGATGATACCTGTGAGGGGGCTTACTGAGGGGTGTGTCTCTGGAGGCAGCCTCGCATTGCTGGTTCGGAGCAGTTAACCTGGAGTACGGCTGCAGGCAGGTAGCATGAGTGACTCTCCTCACTCATATGCGTTTTATTTGATTTAAATCGAATTTCAGAAGGCACAGAGGAAGGAGTATAGATTTGCAGTCAGTAACTACGGCTTCAACCTGAACTTCCTGGCAGAGAGGTGTATTACTGTCTTTCATTCCCTAATCCCAGTAGTCACGAAAAGCTGTATTTACAGTAAGACCATAATTTTAGTAATTCGATGTTTTTATTGCTTTTTCTGTATTTTCTAATTTATGCTGTTGAAATGTTTCAAAGTAACTTCAGACTGTACTCATTGTTGTTGCTCTACCATTTCAACGTTCTCTTTTTCAGTCTCCCTTTTAGCAGAGTTTTAACTTTTCCATTGTTATATAGTTATTAAGTATAATTCATCTCATGATTTTTCCTCTTTTTGCCACCATTGTGTGTTATTTAAACACAAAACTTTCCTTTTATGTGTCCTAATATCACTTCCTACCAGCTTTGGATTTTCTTTTTCCCATAGAGTCTTAAATGTTCTTTCTCCCATAGAGTCTTCTCGCAAGATTTTTCTGTCTCTTCTGGTGTGAAATATAAAAAATTAAATTCCTTGACCCTAACTAAAGCAGCCCTCTAAGTCTTTTGCTGCCTATTCTATATTCTTTACAGCACTTACTATTGTATGGAATTACTTGCTTTTATATTAGTCATCTGTCTGCTCTCCCACCCAAAACACCACTGCAAGGCTCTCAGTGTCCTGGAGGAAAGGACACTGTCTTAAACAACATCTTAGTCCTGCAGCTGGGAAGGTGTGTTTGGCATGTTATATATATATATAAATATTTGGCTACTGACTCATGATCTGAATAAAGAAAGGAGACTAAAACTAAATATAAAACTTCAGTGTATGTAACCCTTATTGTGATTGGAATTATAATTTTGTAAATTGCTCTTTAGTTTGTCATATATTGTGAAGCATGGCAGTGACATATATGAGTAGATCTATGTATATACTGTATTGATTTTTCCAGTGTTCTGTACATGAAAGAACATGTACTATTCATTGGAGAATTCCTATCAGGTAATTCGATCTGTTTGTTGAATAATTATCCTTTTAACCTGTGACTTTTTCTTTTTTCCTAAAATGATATTTTGAGGTTGAAAATATCACTTGAAAATTAAAAGAGCCTTCCTCTTACTGATACTTGAATTTTTTCCAAAAATAAAGTCTCACTAAAAATTTTGTCTTTATCCAGAAACCGAGGAAGAAAACTATGGAAAGTTCTAGCAACAGTGATAGTGATTCGGGTACATCATCAGACACCTCAAGTGAAGGCGTTAGTAGTAGTGATTCAGATGATCTGGAAGAAGATGAAGAAGAAGAAGATCAAAGTATTGAAGAAAGTGAAGACGATGATTCTGATTCAGAGACTGAAGCACAACATAAAAGTAACAACCAGGTATAAATAGCTTCGTTGGCAGTATCCACACATTTATTCATTCATGTTTAGGAATTAATTGGTTTATCTTGACTCCCAAAGTCTAGAGTTTAAGACCATCATTGCCTTTAGTTCCTACTTTTGAACGAGACAGCATAGGAGATGGAGAAACAATTTTAGAAAGCCGTTTGGTGTATTTTAATGAGTTTTATGTTTCTATCATAAGTCATTAGGAACCCTTATAAAGTTCCCTTTTTTTCTCCCAGTTTTACTGCCTGATGTTCTTTGTTTTAATATATGTTAAGTTGCCTTTTAATTGTTTATTTATAGGTGCTATTACATGGTATATCAGACCCAAAGGCAGATGGACAGAAAGCAACTGAAAAGGCCCAGGAAAAGAGAATACACCAGCCATTACCTCTTGTGTCTGAATCCCAGACTCACTCATCATTCCAATCCCAGAAGCAGCCTCAGGTTTTGTCACAGCAGCTTCCGTTTATTTTCCAAAGCTCTCAGGCAAAGGAGGAATCTGTGAACAAACACACAAGTGTGATACAGTCTACGGGATTGGTGTCCAATGTGAAACCTTTATCTTTGGTAAATCAAGCCAAAAAGGAAACTTACCTGAAACTCATAGTTCCTTCTCCTGATGTACTTAAAGCAGGGAATAAAAATACCTCTGAAGAATCTAGTCTTTTGACCAGTGAATTGCGATCCAAACGGGTGAGTTAAAAATTTTACTATTGGAAAATGAGCTTTTTACATGGAGGTTCATTATGATATTTTTCCTTCCTTTTGTGTACGTATGACATTTGATGTAAAATTGTAAGAAGGGGCAATGATTATGTATCTCATAGGTCTTTTGTGATCACTGCTTGAGGAAATGTATGTGAAGTGCTCAGCAGAGGGCCTAGTGCAGAATAAAGACTTTGTACTATTAAAAAAAAAAAGAATATGAGCTTTTATATAGTCTCACAATATAGAAGTTAAATTCTACTCTTATTTTTATATTTTCTTAGTCACCAGGGATAGAATATGTACATCAGAAGACTAAATTCTTCTGATTTTGTATTTACCTAGACATCTGTTACACATTTTCTTAGCAACATAATCACGTCATTTTTTTCCTCCAAGTTTAATGATTTAGCAGAAAGGGCAGAAGTATGTTTGAAAAAGACATACTTCACAATTACTTTAATTTAAAATCAATGTCCTTTTTTCTAATATCAATATATTCTTTTTCAAAGAAATGAACTCAAGTAATTTACCTCTGTAGTCCCATAATTTATCAATTTAAGTGTACAAGTCTAAAGAATCATCTTCCTTTGCCAGTCTTAATGAGTTATATGAAATAAAAAATATTTTGAGTAACTTTTTCTTCCACAAACACCAGAACTACTCATCAGAGAATTTTTTTTCATCTTTATTTTCTTGCTATTGATTTTGTTACTACATGGTCTATATTCGTATGTCCAGTAGAATTCTAGTAATTAAGTGACCAGTGCTTATATTCTAGAATAAGTTCATAGTAGAGAAGAAATACTATGTTTGAACACAGAAAGGAGGCTGTCTTTCAGTTACAAAAAGTACCATTAAGCATCCTAATCATTACATGACACTTGTAGAATACTTACTGTCTGCCAGCCATTGTTTTAGGTGCTGACATGCATTTACTCACTGGATACTAATATCTGGAAGTGCTACTGATATTATTATGCCTATTGACAGATGGCCAAACTGAAATTCGTAGAACTTAACTCTCTCAAGATACACTGCTGGTTAGCGATGGAGCTAGAATTCAAACCTAAGCAGTGTGGTACTAGAGTCCTTGTTCTTAACCCTGTGATACGCGGCCTTTCTTTCTCAGAAACTTGTAGTGTCCTTGTCCATTGACTCTTATTTTACTGTGGAGAATTTAAGGACAGGGTCAAAGAAAAATAAATTGAGATAGTCAGGATTTTTTGAGAACCTAAATGAGTAGCTTTCAAGCTTATGTCTACATTAGAACAACCTGGGAAACTTTGGAAAAAGAAATGCCACCTTAGAACAATTAAATCAGAATTTCTTGTGTTGAGACTAAGGTGTTGTATGTCTGAAAAGCTTCCCAGGTATTTAAAATGTGCAGCCAGAATTGAGAACCACTCATCTAAGTAGAATGAGTGGTGGTATCATAACATCATGCATAGGATAACCTGGAATGCACTGCTCAATCATAAGAAGGTATTATTATTATTGGTGTCACATTATTGAGTCTCCATGAATAAATCAAGCAAATTAAAAATTACATTGTTTGGGGTTAATTTAATCGTTCATTAATGTACATTCCACTTTAAGATCATTGAATTTACAGAGCCAAGTCAAGAATTATTTGCTTTATGAAAGTTTCCTTAATTTTTTTAGTTTTTAAATGTTTCTTATTTAAATAATTTCATATGGTTGCCTTTTAGAAAGTCATTTATTAAACACTTGCTTAATGTAGCCAAGCTAGGATTTCTACACATATGATTTTATAAAATCCTTACAGAATTGTGTGAGGTAAAGAAACTAAGGCTGAGAGAGTTACTTGCCAATATCACAAATTTACATCAGAAAAGTTTTAAACCAAGGTCATTATTATTTCAAAATTAATTATGAATATGAAATATTTGGGGTTTCTGAAATGACAGTGGTAGTTGGAAGTGAATGGGCATTCTCACTGACTTAATTCTAGATGACTTTATCTACTTTTTGTTGGTACCAAGTATTGAGTTAAGGGGTATTTTATAAATAATTCTCTTACATCAGGTCTTTCTTTATATGACAGCCTAACAGAACTTCGCTATATTTCATATGATAATCTCAACTGTTTCATGCTACCTGCTATGTATCTGTCTCATTAGTTTGTGATTTTTTTTGAGTGTTATTTAATCAGTGGATCCTTCCATACCCTTAACACTGTAGACATTTAATTCAAATCAATATATGCTAATTGGGTGTATGGATCAGGAGTGAGTTTTCTTGATCAAGTTTTGCCTAGATTTTTTTGTGCTCTGCAGAGACTCAGGGCTCAGGGGAGCAAGAACTTAGAGGTAGGACAGCTTCCGCCCTTCTCTCCCCGTCCTCCTCTCAGCTAAGTGTGCATCTTAAGGCAGCATGACGTTTGCTGTTATTATGTAGGTCTCAATTATCTCCTCTCTTCCTTTTTATGTACCACCCCTAATATCAGAAAAGGACAACATGTTTGCTATAAAAGAGGAACTATAATTAGTCTTGGGATAAAATACAGTGATCTTTGGTTACTTTTTGAAAACTGAGTTGTCAACATATGAGAAATTATTCTTCAGAAGTTTAGAGTGAAAAGCAATTTCAGAAAATTAAAATACAAAATTTTAAATGAAGAGGAAAGTTTTTATTTTCATGAATGTTTGATTCTGTATATTTAGAAGGAACAATTACTACCTATGAAAAAAAGTACCAAATGATTATGTGTCATCAGTTGTTCTAAGAAATGAAAATACACTGATTTTTTCTTCTGAAAATTTAAGTCAGTATACATTAAATATGAATTATAAGGACAGTCCCTATCCTTATACTATATATAACATGCAATATCATTAAGTAGTAAGTAAAATTAATTATATTAAAGTATTTTATTTAAGAATTTTGCTATATAATTTTTTTAAAGATGAATGTAATTATCAAGTATAATTTTCCATACTTTATTCTCTGAATAAATTCAAATTAAGCATGCTCTTTTGAGGCATTGCCTTAGGTACAAATATTATATGACAGTATTTTGTTCACAAAGAATTATCTTAATATAGGTTAATTTTCTAAATCATCTTAATATAACTTAATTTTCTAAATTAATACAAAGATCTTAAATATGATAAAGAAGTTTATATAGGAATAGCTTACTGCTTCTTAGTACTGGTGCTTTAAAATATTTAAGTACCATCTGCATTTACATTTGTGAAATGCCCATCACAAATCTTTGCTGACTTGGGTGTTAGGAGCCCAGATCTGGTACTGACAGCACTGCTGATTTTAATTTCAAGGCAACCATTTTCATTACAGAATTTTATATTCTGAAATTGAACTACATTTTAGTTACCTTACAATATTGTAATCATTCCACTTCAGCTTATTCTTATAATTTTAATTACACAAATTTAATAAAAGTCTTATGTTTTTATTACTTTCAAAAAAGATTCTGATAACCAAATAATTTTTTGTTTCTTATTTACAGATCTAAATTCTATGGCTTTTAGTCATTACAAACTAATCTTTCTCAAAAAAAGTATAATTTTCCTAAGCTGTGTTATTAAACCCTTCCTATTGCTAATATGCTGAAAGCTCTCTAAAGTGGGCGCCCCTGAATGTTGAGCCAGCATTGTCCCCAGCTTTGTACCACGTATACTATAGACAGAATGTAAGAGGTAAACTTGCTCAAAGGATAGAGGCGATGGGTGCTTCCAGCTTGGAGAAACAGGGAAAGCTTGGGTTGGATTTTGAACAATGGACAAGATTTCTTTGGCTTGAAATGTATTAAGAGGACATTTCATGCAAAGAAAATGGTTATAGCAAAATGTGGAGATAATGACAGTATAATATGCACATGGCATGACATACAGTTCAGTTTGACCAGAAAGGTGTGTTAGTATCTACTTGAAAAGTAATTTGATCCCCTTGATACAGATAAGTTCAGGGTGAACATTTAGCAGTCGGCTGCCTATAAGGAGAACATTCTCCACACTCACAGCAGGGATTTTGTGATCAGTAATAGTTCAGAAGCCTCCAGACAGATTACAAATCGTTAGAAAAGGTGTGTGGCCAGTCATTTGTATAGACTGGATTTGTGACAGATTTACCAGGTCAAGAATTCCCAATCAAGTTTTTCCTCCTTCACCTGCAAATCATGGGGAACATGGTGGGGGATCCACAGCACCCTCATAAACCGTGTATTGTTATCAATAAAGAATACAAAAAGATGTCCATATGGGGGAAGAGATGTAATGGAGATGTTTGGACTAGAAAAAGCACATACTCCAAAAGAATATCCCTTCAGTGAATGCAAAACTGAAAATAGTTAAACATTTGATAAGAGTCAAGCCCCTGAAATTGCCATGGGGACTTCCAGCAGAGGAGGCCTCCGGGCCCCAGAACACTGGGGAAGCAGTAGTGAGGTGCCATGTAAGCCCTGTGGACCAGGAAGCAGTTAAGTCCTAGTGCCATGGCAGCTCCATGTTAAGAAATGCAAATCATTTTTATTTAAAGATAATGAGACAGTGTTCTCCTTAAATAAATGTATTTTAAACATTAAAATAAAAAGTAATTTGAACATCAAAATTAAGTGTTTCGGCTTTATAAAATTGGCAATGGTGTCGGAGATACTAAGGCTTTTAACGAAGGAGCTAGTTTAATAAAATAAGGCTTACATTAAGACAAAATCGGCATTGGGGTACAGAATATATTGGGAGTTGGGTGGGAAGAAGTGATGTTATGCCCTGAATTTGAGCAATATTTCAATGAAAGAATCTAAAACACATAGTAACATGGCTGACCTGGAAAAAATAGAAAGGAAAGATACAGTTTTTAGGGTTTTAAGTTTGGATTCCTGAGAAAATAGGAGCAACAGTAATGAGAGGAAGATAGGAAACATATATTTTGAGGGGAAAGACAAATTAGATTTTAAATAAATCATGTCTCACCAAGGTTCAGCAACCATGTAGTCATATCTGCCATTACTTTTATAGCACTTGTGTGGTATACATTGTTGTTTTGTCTTTTAACTTATATTTCAACAGGAACAGTACAAACAGACATTCCCAGTGCAGTTAAAGAAACAGGAGTCATCTAAGAGCCTGAAGAAGGTTATTGCAGCTTTGTCAAATCCAAAAGCAACCTCTAGTTCACCAGCACATCCAAAACAAACATTAGAAAACAACCACCCTAACCCGTTCTTGACAAATGCACTTTTAGGTAATCACCAACCAAATGGAGTCATTCAGAGTGTCATTCAGGAAGCTCCTCTAGCACTCACTACCAAAACCAAAATGCAGAGTAAGATCGGTGAAAACATTGCTCCTGCAAGTAGCTGCCCGTTTTCCTCACCTGTGAATTTGAGTACAAGTGGCAGACGAACCCCTGGCAATCAGGCCCCTAGCATGCCCGCCGCCTCTCCCCTGCTGCATAGTCAAGGGAAGGAAAAAGCAGGTGGCAACAACGTAAACACAGTAAAAACACAGCATCCCTCTCATCCTGCAAAGCCTTCAGTGGAGCAGTTCAGAGGGACCGATTCAGACATTCCCAGTAGTAAAGATTCTGAAGAGTCCAATGAGGATGAAGAGGATGATGAGGAGGAAGAGGAGGAAGAAGAGGAGGAAGATGACTCTGATGACAGCCAATCAGGTTATTTTCTGTTTTGAAATTTAAATCACTTTTCTAAATGCTATGTGAACAAGAAACATTTTAAAGAGGTTCTTAATGCCCACACTTGCGATCAGCGTCATTCATCGTGTCTCATACAGCTGTGTGCCCTCCCTTTAGTGACCTGGCCAAAAATATCGGAGTAATTCAAATCGGAAATCCGAAGTTAAATTCTCAGCTTTGTTATTCATTTAACAATAAACAAATAATGATTTTAAAGTGAATATAAATGATGCATGAATTATGAAATAATTTCGCAAAGTTGCTTAATTTTCATTGACCTCATGACCGCTCATTTGTCCTTTTTCATCTCTTCTGCTGCTTGTTGAAATGTGTCACTAGGTATTTTTGAACAAAGGTAAAATTATAGTCACAGTTATTCAGAAGGTACCCACGCCCTAAATCCTATGAGTGTCCACTACCGGCACAGAATTTGTTTAATAACCTGCAGAGTGCTTCCGAATTTTTTTTGGTTCGCTTTCTAGTTTGGCTTTTTTTTAAAAAAATTTCTTTTTGTTTTTCTTCTCCTTAACTCCCCTTGTTCGACAGAAGATTGAAAACATATAATGTAAGATAGCTTAAGTTTTAAATACAAAGGTGAAATACATACTACTCAGGTTTCTGGATTTGTTCCTGGTCAGCCACAAATCTAATAGTAAATTCTCAGGCTGCCACTGTGAATAGGAAAATATAATCAGTTACACAGTTAAAGGGGGCTCTAAGGAAAACTACCTACTTGCTCGGGGTAGGAACAACTTTTCCTGATAATATTTTTTCCTGGGGTTCCTGTAAACACAACTTTGCATGATAGATAAAAAACAGTTTTTATAATGAACTTCAATGTAGGCCAGTAGTACTACACAAAACACAATTTCACAAAAGCTGTTGTTCTGGGACTGTTAAGATACAGTCCAAATATCAGGCCTATGTTTATCAAGTTTAATCCAGGTGTAGATTTTACATATCTGTAGGGAAGGATGCATTTATAGGACTAGATTGCTAGAACAAACTTAAATTGTTATATCATTAAATTATCCCACACAGTTAATGTCTATAATTCTAGTCTTTTTGTGAAGCCTGGTGAAGTCCTGCCCCTAAATAAATTAACTACCAAAAAGCCATAACTGCCAAACTGCCATAAATTAACTCCACATAGCCAAAAAGCCAAGAATCTCCCCCTAAAAATTGTTTTCTTTTTTCTCACAGCACAGATGATAGGGTTATGGAAGTTCCAGGCTTCACCTCCTCATACTTAACCCAGTGTACTTCTTAAAGTACTGGAATCTATTAATTTAGATAGGCAATTCTATTCTCTCTGTACTTTAGTTTGTCTATTAAATTAAAAGTGAATTTTAAACCAAGCAGAACTCATCATGTGAACAATGTCATGTGAGAACTGTTTTATGATTAAAATGTTAAGTAAAGCAGATACTTTTAATGAAGACTTGAGACTCTGTAGCCTGCATACATTGTACTCAGATAGCTTGTATGATAGTAATTTTAACATTTACTCTGAGGAAAGTTGCTCAGTTGAGTTCTGAATCACAGGTGCTGATTCCTGAACTATTCCATTTAGATGCAAACTGCAAACTGTTTGGTGATTATCTAGTTATAATATACAAATGCTTCTTTTACTTCCCAGAATCAGATAGTAATTCAGAATCAGATACAGAAGGATCAGAAGAAGATGATGATGATGATAAAGACCAAGATGAATCAGATAGTGATACTGAAGGAGAGAAAACTGCAATGAAACTGAATAAAACAACCTCCTCTGTCAAAAGCCCTTCCATGAGTCTCACAGCTCACTCAACACCTCGTAACCTCCACATAGCAAAAGCCGCAGGCTCTGCTTCTGCTGCCTTATGTTCTGAGTCCCAGTCACCTGCTTTTCTTGGCACACCTTCTTCCACACTTACTTCAAGTCCACACTCTGGTACCTACACTTTATTTTTATTATTGTAAAGTAGAAGTCAAACCATAGCAAGAAGTCTTATTGATACAGTATTCTGGGCATGATCTCAGTGGAATCCAGGGTCACAGCTGTAGCTCAGGTTGGCTCAGAAAGGTCAGTGTGTATTTTGAAAGGATATGGCCCATTACCATTTCTGTTCTCTGTGCTTCCAATTTAAGAACCTGATCAAGACAGCTCTTGATTTTGAATACATTCCTGCTTTTGTGTTCAGTTTATGCTTCTAGAATTTAGAATTTGACTAACAGGTGGACTTTTTTGTGTTTTATAAAAACGAGCTCACTTGGTTACTTAAGAGATGATTGCATATCTGCCCAACACAGAGCCAGTGTCATTTGTATTAGTGACGAGCATTCATATTGCATTAACATGCCACATCTTTTTTTTTCTATTTGACATTTTATAAGCTTCTAGAGGTCTTCATTAAAAGTTTTAACATTAATATTCCAAACTATTTTCATTTCAGTAGCTAAGAAAATATAAAGGTGTATCGTAAAATACCATATTGTTTTACTTACTTCATTCTTTTCTTGGAAATTTCTAGTTTTTCTTTCATTTGCCACAAACCAGTATGATAATCTAATTTAAGATGCATGTATTTGTATTTCGTGAAACTTAATCATTGTCTATGAAAAATTTTACATATAATCATAATCCCATTCCTTTGTACTTTAGATTAATTAAAAGACCTAGTAATGTTTTTTACTATGAATTTATATGATCATAGAAGTTATGAGCCAGCTGTTGAAATTTTTAATTTAAAACTCATATTTAAAAAAAAAAAACAACCATAGTTTTCTGAAACCTCTGTCTACTGTTTCCATCCTACTTTCTTAGCCATTTCTTTAATAGTAAAATGATAAGAAAGCTATACATTTTTGCCTTGCATTATATTTCCTTTAGAAAGGCTAGTTATTCTGTCATGCAGACCAAAGAAAAAAGAACAAAGAACCTCTACTTTATACAATATGTTTTATTGAAAACAATCTAAAAATACTGTACAAGTTGCAGAAATACACTAAATAATCAAAGTCATTGACATGTATTTAAAGAAAAGTTTCAAACTGTCAAAAATTGCCATCTGTTTAAACTAATCTTTAATATTAACTGGTTGAATTCTCTCGAAGGCACTTCCAAAAGAAGACGGATAGCAGATGAACGTGAGCTGCGTATTCCTTTGGAATATGGGTATGCAACATAGCATTTCTCTTTCTGCTTTTCCCAAAATTTATGCATATTTGGTTTCTCATTCTCTACTGTTAATAAGAGATGTGTATATACTGAACAGTATTTATTAGAGGGGAAGAACTAGAACAAAGGACAATGAAGTTGATAACACCAGAGAACTGAAATTATGGCCAACTGCTGTTTAGATATGGCAGGGCTGGGGTGGAATCACATGGCCAGGTGGGACTATGACTGAAAAAGAAGAGTAACTCACTTGGCAAAGGTCAGGGACGCAGTGAAGCGTGTCTGAGTTTTTTGTGAAGATAGAATTAAAGGACAGTGACAGCCTCTGTGGGCAAACCTGAGGGACTTGAGCAGAGTTCAGCTAACATGGTTCAATTGAAACTAAGAAGTTTCACAATGAAGTACTGGTCCTTATGGAGAAGAGAGCCAGGTTTCCTTTACTCTTCTCACATAAAGCTTTTCAGATGTAAAAAATCAGTACACATTGACACATTATTGAATATGTTCAGATACCCAAAGTCATACCTGTTACAATTTCTAAAAAACTTAATGGAGTTTTATATTTGTGAAATGAGTCTCTGATTAATTTTAGTTGAATTACTTAGCTAAAAATCTAAATAATTTTAATAGTAAATGCATCTGAATTATATAATTAGGGGTTTCTATTTGTTTTCTTTGCATTTTTCATGTTTTCTAAAGAGCATGTGTTCTTAAGGTATTTTACTTTTATTTTTAAAAGCTTTCTTAAAATTAAGCACGTTATAACCCTCATTTCTGTTATGTGTAGCTGGCAGAGAGAGACAAGAATAAGAAACTTTGGAGGGCGCCTTCAAGGAGAAGTAGCATATTATGCTCCATGTGGGAAGAAACTTAGGCAGTACCCTGAAGTAATAAAGGTACATACTTTTCACCAAATAACATACATTTGGTGCCTATTAAGCATGCTTATGGAAAAAAAAGTGCACTCCTTTCTCAGATCAAGTTCCTTGATGCAAAATATTCTCTTGTGTGGGACTAATGTATTTAATCTAAATTGATCTCCTATAAATCCATAGCCCTTGATAGAATATGCGAAACTTTAGTGTCCTGAAGATAGCTATACATCAAAGCTGGGTTGTGATTATTAAAACCTGAAGTGGAAAAATATGTGATTTTTTCAGTATCTCAGCAGAAATGGAATAATGGATATCTCAAGGGACAATTTCAGCTTCAGTGCAAAAATAACAGTGGGTGACTTCTATGAAGCCAGAGATGGACCGCAGGTATCCACTTTTTAGTACAGTCTTTGAACCAAAAAGTAGTACCGTAACCTAAATGAAGTAAATTTCGCTACCCTCTAGAGCATTGCCTTTGTTAGTTAGTGAATGTGGCTGTTCACATAGCTTTGTGGTGAACACCCACCAAGGCCTCAATTTACTATGTTGCAGTGACAAGGAGCTTTGGCATAATTAATGTCTTCTTCAAAAAATTAAACTTTTTCCTGTTTATTAATTATGTCAATTTGATAATTTATATAAGTATAAAAGTATCTGCAAGTGAAATATATGATGACATTAGTTCCCTGAAATTTTTTAAATAGCTTTTAAAAAATGTATTTGAATAGAAAAAAACATGTTAGTTCAAAAGAGGATAAATAACGCCTTTTTGGAAAGATCTTGTCTATGTGATTATGCCGTGCCACATCCATTTTCACAAGAAGTTTGGTAATTTTGGGGCAGGGGGCTTCCATAATATTAGGTGAGTAAAATTTCTGTTTTTTGCCGAAGTTGAATTTTTAAATTGATAATACACAGTTCTGAAAATATCACCATAGCTCCCTTTGAGATTGAGGGTTTACACGACCTCACCAATCAACACAGAGAACCCACTGCAGAAACTTCATCTTCGTATGTTTCCTTTAATGTTTCACCTTTGTTCCTCGCTTGGGTTCAGCTGCATATGCTTATTATTCCCTTTATCAGCTCCATTGAAAGAGGCCCATGTTAGGGAATGAGAAGACCTAGAATCTTGTTAATCCATGAAATAGTTTTGTGATTTCAAACAACAACGAAATAATGTCCCTCTTTTCTTTGTATGTGAAATAGAGACAATGATAATTTTATTTCTGCCTCAGGATTATGTCAGGGTTAAAAAGGAATTAATGCTCATGAAAATGTTTCAAAAGGTTAAATTGTTCCAACTGAAGTTGGTACTTTCTTTATTGAACTGTTCTTCCTATTGGCCCATTATAACTCACAGAGAGAAACTCTTCTGGTAGTTAGTATTTTCTATTACAAATAGGTGGGCTTCTCCTGCCTCTTTTACCCTCTAAGAGTGCAAAGATGAAGGGAATTTTCCAAGATCACACAGCCTCAACCAGGCAGACATAACTAGAACTTGAGATTGCTGACACTGTTCTTTTATGTTCATCACATAACCTATTTGCCGTTGTTTTGTGTGACTTTTTAAGGAACAAGTTACATCCATATCCACTTACATCTTCACTGGTAATTCTTAAAGGCCAAAATATGTTTATCTGAGGTTCAACATCTTTATAAAAATATATTCTAGAATTTTTCTATTTTTCTTTTTCTTTTTTAAACTTAAAAAAAATGTTTGATTTAGATTAAATCTCTAACCAAACAGATTATCAGAATTTTAGTGAACCACAGTGTTATTTTACACATTCCATAATACTGGGTCAGTTTTTTAGTCTTAAAACATATTAAAAGGCAATAATAATATTTTTTTAAATCCTTCTCATCTTTTAATTTTTTGGTTCATCTTACTTTATTTTACATTATCAAATCCTGTCATGTTTATGCCAAAATATTTTTATGTTTTTAAGTTCAATAGATTTTTGTTCTGAGAGGAAACTTAATTGGTATTCAATACAGAAAGGATTTTTAGTTTTGTTCAGTGATGACACTTAATCTTTAAAGCCCTTTTAGGCAAAGCAGAATGCTCTTTGAAATTCATTCACTTTTTATTAAACATTATCAGTGTTTTCCAAATGCATATTGTCTTGTTGAGAGATCAATTCACCAAGGAAATTACTAAATCCAGAGTATATTAAGCTGCCAACATTTCCGCAGATTGCTAAGGAAAAATATTAACAATTTTGGGAATACTTGTCTCAGTTAAAAAATCAGTAAGTTGGATTAATTTGAGGGTACTTTTAAAGAACAACAGTTAAAGGTAAGTAATCCAAAAAAATGTTTAGTTAATTAATTAGAGATGCATCTAGTTGTAGAGCCCAAATACATTTCTTTATGTTGTATGACACATATGTATGTAAGTGTATAAATAGAAATGTATTATTTATATAATTTTCTATGGAAATGAACAAAGATTTGATATTTTTGTTAGAGCAACTATGATGTGTATAATAATTTTGATTTAAATTTTGTAGATGTAAAATATAGTTTGGGACAAAGACACTGTTACCATTTAGTAATGATCTGGATGTTTTAACAATGTGTTTGCCTTTATACAAATTGTATAAATGGTATGATGGCTGTATATATATTGACAAAGTATGCATATTGAAAAACTAGAAGGAAATGTGCCAGATTTTGATGGGTGTAGTAGTGGGTGGTACAGTGGATCTTTTTCTCTACATTCTTGAATGTTTCATATTTTCTTAAATTTGCTTGTATTACATCTATAATGTGAAAAACAATTTTCTGTTAAAAAACATAAGTACTTCTGCCCCTTGTAATCTAATAAAGCTAAGCATTCAGTTTTGCAAATGCATAGAGATTATACATAATGATTCAAAATAATACTGCTGCAGTTTTCCAAGCTTCAGATATCTATTCTGGGTGTTTGATAACAAATGAAATGCTGTATTTGCAGATTCATTAGTATTCTAATCACTCCCCTAATAAAACATTTGCATTGGAAAATATATTTTCTCCATCATATTTCTCTCTTTTCTCTGAAAACTTAATGAAAGAAAGAGCAATATTGGTTCTCTAAGTTCTAATTTTGTGAAAGGCATTTCAAAAGTTGTAACAGTGGTATACACACACACACACCCCAAAGCTGTGTACATTTTACAAATGAAATTTAGGAGATGATAATTTCTACTAGAAGGTAATACCTATGTAGAGAACCATGGTTATTTTGTATAATTTAATTATTTTTTTTACTCCAGGTATTCTTAGCTTAAGGTACTGATTATATGTATATTTATTAACAGCAAAGATTTGTTGAAAGCAATTGACTTACTACATATATTACAGTAAGATCGGAGATGTGAGAATTCATATTTATTGAAGTTTAAGTAAATTCATCATTAAATTCAACTAAAATACAGCATTCTCATGATTACCTTTAAAAAAATTAAAAGGTGAAGCCCTTAACTCAAGTAAATAGATAGGGTTGATACATAAAATAGGGGGCGGGAGCGTGGGCTGGGAGCCTTTAATCTGTTCATGATCAGTTTTATTTATTTCAGTCTACAAATGTGGTAAGAGACTGTAGGATCGGTTACTTGTTAGTACCCACTGATAGATATCAAACACTTCTTACTAGCTTCTATAAAAACCATGATTTTAGGAATGATAGGCTTCATGGAGCAAAATGAACTCTAATTTACTCTTTGTAAGTTCATGCTATACTGGCTGGCTACCTTCTAATGAAATTCTGTTAACTATTTTAGCCAGTAAAACTGCTTTGTAAAGGGTGTATGGTAAACAGATTAATGCTCCATCACATTATAGAGAATCTGTTGAACCTAATGTTTATTATTGTTTTTGCTGTATTTTGTTATGACTGTCACAATAATATAAAGTAAGGTTGAGCTAGACAGATTTTGGTCAATATAATGTTATTTTTATTTACCTAAATATGATACTTAGATAAATAGGTAAAAGGTATTCACATTTTTACTTAAGCATATGTGCAGGCTTCAAAATACACTGTTGATAACAGGTTATTTTGAAATATATGATAATCTACTTTGAAAAACATCTTTTGTGAATTGTAAAAAGGGAAATGGTTAAGCATAAATGTATCAATTAAGAGGTTTTTTCCCAACCAGGAAGTTCATAAATATGAGGCATTGAATGTGTACTGTATTCAGGCCAAAAAAAGAAAAGGAAAGATACAAAGAAGGCAAAAGCTAAAAGTGACTTAGTAAATGTTGTTTTCTCTATTTAACATGTATTTTTTTAAAAAGGTTATCTCTCCTTTTTAATGGCATAAGGCCATGAGAAAGTAAAAAGTAGAAAGGTCCTTTTTTCTTAGTCATTTAATTAATAAATATTTGTTGGCAGATACTTTACATGCCAGGCATATTTTCCAAATAAATTTTCCACAAAGAAAATTGTGAACAAATTTCACTACAGACATTGAAATCCTAAACTTGAAATCTTCAGGGAAACTGAAGAGTAGAAAGGAAGTAGAATTTATGATCACTAGCTTAGAAAGGCTTATTGTCTGGGGAAGATAAAACACAATGCTTCACAGCTAAAATTAGGGTTTTGTTAATAAGGAATCAAGGGAGGTTTCACAATAAAGCAGTTAACAGGCAGTCACTGGCAAGGTTGTAATGCTGGTAATTACCTCAAATAAGTGAAGAGCCAAAGATTGGGAGTCAACACGAGGGTTCTAATTCTACTCTGCTGTTAACTGTCAAACCTGATGCATCATAGCTCTGGGGCTGTGTGGGCACTGAGGACCTGAACGGTCAGTACCAGAGATTTGAAAATCTGCACATTTATATCCATGCTCTACTGGCTGGCTACCAGTATAGGATTTAAGATGTCTAGACAGTGGTCTACACTAGGAAGCCAACTGTGTAATTCCAAGTGTGGAGCTAAGGAGATAGATTTGAAAGTCATAACTCTTAGAGTAACTGGACAGGACTGTGGTAACGATTGTATCAACCATGTTTCTCAGCTGTTTTTAATAGATGACACCTATTTCCCATCATAAATAGCTATACTTCTTCACATCTTTAAACTGCTATTCAATATGTGATGCTAACAAGCTGTATGATTACAGTAGATTAAAAATCGTAATTCTAGAAAGTTTGTAATATATGAAGTTCTTATACCTACTCATGGCACCAGAAAGTAGTTGTAACTAGACATAATACTAAACTGTGAAGTAGGTGTAAGGAAATGCAACAAAATTCTGGTTTTTCTCATGATGTTAACATTAATGGTTTTCTTAAAATATGAACTGTCAAGTTCTGTCAAAAATATTTGATGCCCTTGCTTTACTTACGCTGTAAGATTTTTCTTAGACTCCTAGCAGGGTAAGTCAGTATCCT